TTGCATAAATTTTGTGCATATTGAAATTTTAAACGTTGCGAGTGGATTTTAGATGCTTTGTATAGGGAGATAAACTTTCTTGAGAATTTGGGAAAAAATTTGGAATATGAAAAAATTTTAGATTTTATGGTATGGCGGATGGAAGTGTGTCTGGTGCCGACTAGGGATATTCAGTTATTTGCTTTTTTTACCGAAGAAAGTTTTTCGATCAAGGTACCACACCCTCGTGCTTTGCACGCGGCCTAAGGTTAGGCAAGGGTTACATCGGGTTACGTTTAGACTCGGTAAGTTCCTATTGGTCGAGCCGCTTCGGTTCATTAGTACGCGCACTCCGATTGGCTGCCCTCTAGCGACTCTTCTTTTTACTTTCCTCACGTAATGACGTGGTGCTGCGCGTCTCGGCCTATATGCAACGGAGCGATCGTGCATGGCAGATAGGTCTTATTCATGTGTATAGTTATATGCTTTCTGGGTATATGAACTTAGCTTTGTACATATATGCTGTAAAGCGACTCCTATGTACCTTATGTGAAAGATACACCATATTGTATGGAGTTAGCTCCTATAGGGGGTAAGTTAAAATTTGCCATTTTAGGTAAAATAGGGTTTCTTGATGAATAAGGTATTTTTTGAATACTCGAATGAAAATTTATTTAGTGTATTTTTTTTTTGGATTTTATGTAATTTTTGAATTTTCATTTTATTTTTTGTTTGCTATATTTTATATGCTTTTTGTACGTAGACAGGGAAGAGCAATGTCTATGTACTATGCGTATTGGAAGATGTACACGTGTTCATGACGTTTGCGTTTGTACGGTATAAATGAAATTTTTCCGTATCAGGTAATATAGAGATTGCGGTGCGAGGTATTATTTTTTAATAGATTTTTTGGAATCGATGTTTTCAATCTTTAATCTTTCTGCCAATCTTTCGGCGAGTCGCGATCGTGAAAACAATTGTTTCCAGCACATTAGTTCCGCAGTCTCTTCGTAAACCAGAAGTACTCTCGAGGACTGCCTGAGCACCCTTGAAAATCTACCCCACGTGTAACCCCTGCGCCCTCTCGAGGTGAGGAATAGGGGTGCACTGTGGCGACACTCGCACTTCTCTTCGTGGTCCGATTAAAAGTCGCGAGTGCTGCCATCTACGTTAATCGAGAACGAGAACGTTAATTCCTTTGATTAAAAGCCAGATGAGATTTCAAGGACACGAAAGTCATTTAATTGCACGTAATTCGAACGTGATAAATGAAGAGAGAGACATATCAAAGCGTAAGGGTGAATTTGATAATTTTATATTATCTAATAAATAGAATTTTCAAGATAAACAAAATTATTGAAATTTTTCAAGACGCTTGATGAAATTTTATAGATTTGAAAAAATTATCTTTTTTTCAAAATTTTTGTACACCACCTTAACCCTTAAGGGACTACCCTATCGCGGATTATCGTACAAAATGGCCATTCAAACGTGACTTCGTGGCAGATATGGATCGCGCATGAGGGTTTACGGAGGGAGAAAAGAGAATATTCAGAGGACGGGTCTGGTGTTACCATGGCAACAACGATCCCTCAGTAGCCGAACCCTCCTACACCCTTCATTCAACTCTACCACCCCTGTAATTCCCTCGAATTCGAAGACAGCCACTACGCAATTTTCGCTGGGATACGTCTCGGAGTTTCTGTCTCTTTGTACGAAAATCCTCGACAATGTTTTTTTGCGTAATTTCAAATTTCAGAAAAATCTCAAAATTTTTACACCACCATACCCTAGCCTCACGAAACATATATCAAGCTCAATAAATAACCCGTGATCCACTGAGCCGTACGACCCAATACACGTTTTCCTATAAATAAAAATGATTACACAGATAAATTTGGAAAAAAATGTTATTCAATATACAGAATTTACTAATTAACCCCAAATAATTATTCCTGAATATCAGTATAAACGAAAATTAACAGATTCTTGGGATTGATCAAGGCTTCTCCATTTTAGTTTGTAGATCGTTCCATATGCATCGGGTGACTTAAAAATTTTTTTACCTATACGGCATATATATGTATATAAGGACGGCCAAAAGCTTCTAGAAGGTCCTGAGCAAAAATGCATCGGGTGTCTCACCAAAAATGGCCCTCGGCATTCTCTCTCTTAACATATTGTAATATCGGAGAGCCATTAACATAATATCTCTGCTCTTTCGTATTCAAAACGGGCACAGCCTGTATAATGGTACTCTCGATCCGTGTTTAGACTAATGCTAGGTTAGACGAGACGGAGTTCTAAGATTATAATGAGACCCGATCGAATTAGTCGGGTGACTTGCCCCAGAATTTTGAAATTTCTTCGTCAATTATGAGCCACTGATTTCGGGGACAGCTTTTGATTTTTAAGCAAACTTTTTTTTTTCGAGTATCCCAAAATTATCAAAATCCTTTCCGCGTATCGTTTTCACATAATTTGGCTGAATACTCAATTTTTTTAAATGATATATTTAGAACGACGTACAGAGGGTTACAAAAATATTTTTTTTAATTGTCCTCATTGAAACTTTATTGGACGCCTTGGAGGGGATGTTTAACTTTTTTTTTTCTACTCTCTGAAGAAAATCAACAGTTTTTTCGCGAAATGAGGTTTAAATCTCCCCTCGTTAAAGAAGGAGTGCCATTAGCAGTCGTACCGAGCACTTCAGAAGCTTCCAACCTACCGACATTGCCAGCTTTCGAGTGGAGCAACAAGGTTGCTATATGATTTCAACCCCCTTTACTTCGAATAAGGGTTGTTGGGATTTAAAAAATTTTTTTCGAACCCCACGTTAATCCTAAAGGACGATTTTTATTCAAAATCATAATAATCGTCGTAAGTCCGAAATGCGGAAAAAAACACATGCGGAATCGTATATTACGGAAACGCGAAGGTTGTCACGGTTTTTGGTTGAAATCGGAATTAATGTGTTTTTAATAATGACATACGGCTGCATTCGAGTCCTGAATTCCCATGCGATGCGCGCGCATCTCCGACTTTCGCAGAAACGCCAAAAACGACCAAGAGGACGGTTTTTAATGATTTTATAATAATGCAGGATCATTATATTCCAGATCATTTTCGTATTAGCATCCGTCATTAAAACGTCATCTGTACCTAACCTACGTAACATTGGTAAGACAGATATTTTCTTTTACTTCGGTTATATTGTACGTTCGTAATATTAACGTCAGTCCTCTTCCGACGAGTCCCACCAGATGTCTCTGCTGGTCGAATTTTCATAACACGTTACAGATCGAAGACCAACGTTAACTTTTCCACGAGTTATTCATTCTCGTTGTACGACTGAATTACCCTTTTTCTTTGGTCCGTAAAGTCACTTTTATTTTTATTCCTTTCTGTACCAAGTTTCAGACGTTTCTCAACAGCGTCTCAGCTGGTAGTTTCACAATGGCGCCTGAACGCCTACAGACTTCCTTTCTCTTGAAATTCTTGAGAAACCGCAGAACTTTGAAATATCCCGCTCAAAATTGCTTTACGTATTTTGCAAAGGGTACTGCTGTTTTAGGGGGGAGAGAGGGGTTGACTTTTTATTTAAACCTACAATTAATGGGCCGGGCGTAAAAAAAAATGGCGGACCGATATATACAGTAGGTAACAAAGAACCGTGAGACGATCCAGCTTTTATTTAGGTGAAAAAAAAAATGGATTAAAAAAATGAAAAATAAATAACTTACCAGTGAAAAATTTGCAAGAGCAGGCGGTAATGGATTAACCCGATGATTATTGGCATTAGGGATGGCGAGAGGAGTCGCCCTTAAATTAAAATCTTTTTTTTTGACTTTACTTTTCGATTATGCTCCATAGAACGACGGAGAGGGAGGGGAAGTTCACGAGCCAACCCCGACGATAGTTTTATTCTTCTCCAGGACCAAAATTGTAATTGGTCGGTCAAAATATATTGGTCAGGGATGAAGAGGGTGGCTGTGTACGAGAGCGAGAGACGATCCTGGTAATAACAATAATTAGAGCGAGGAACGGTCGATTTTGCCGTGGTTCTTGGATAAAAAAAAATTATAAAACAAAAGGCAATCCTGACTACGCGCACCTTGGTATCCGTGAACCGATCTAAAAATGGCGGTCGGGACGAGTCTTGCGGCTTGGAAATATTTTTCGAAATAACAATCCAATATGCCGAAGACGTTATTGAAAATTTTCAAGGGTTGAAATCGAAAAAAAAATTAATCCTCGCTACGAATATTATTATTTAAAATATCTCTTGAACGTTCGCTTCGTTTATTGGAATCGCACGGTAGAAAAAAAAAATTAAGGGGCCCCCACAAGTAACGGCCGCACACGCGTGGATCATTGAATAAAAGTTTACACGAGGAACCGCAATAACCGCGAAGGCAATTTGATCGCGATAGGAAATCGAGGAGAAATAAACCGAAGGGAAATATAAAGCGCGGTCAAATGGCGTTCGCAGCCACGGGCGGCCGTTTACCGTAAGCGTGATGCCGATGATGACCGACGATGTCCGATGATACCGTCGACGTCGATCGGCAAGACTCATTCTTTGCTCAACGTTCGCCTGGGTTAAGTCGGGGTTAACTTTCCCAATCGGCGCAGGGATATAAGCGTGGAAAGAAGAGGAAGATCTTGTGCATTGTTCGCGAACAATGTAACCGTGTCCGGAAGAAAGGGGAGTAAGAGGTAAAGGAGGGGAAGGGAGGGATAATCGAGCTGTGTAATATTTATAACGTAATAAGACCCCGTAACATAATAATATCAATTACCCCAACATTCCCTCTCGAGCCCCCGATCGAAAAGTCGACGACGCAAATTCACGGATCTGTCGGTCAGAAAATTGGCGCCCTCTGCCGGCCAGCTGACTTTGAAAAACCACCCCTCAGGAACGCAGCGATATCAATGTCGGATGAGAATAAAATTATAAGGATCAAAACTTTGAAATTTTTAATGATCGTGCTTTGTAAATTTTTTTGCAAATTCACCCAACCACCAAAATTTTTTACCGAAAATTAACCATGTCGATCCGGGTGCGAAAATGGAGAAAAATTTTTAAAAAATTTTTTTACTCCTCCTATCCCACTTCTTGGTCCCTGATATCGATTTGAATTTCGCACCGAAATATTTTACGTGCGCGCGAATTCGATTATTAATTTCGTTTCCGGTGGTTGTGTTTAGCCGCGAAGGCGGTAACCGCGGCCATGCCTCCCGACCAATGGGAGCCAGGCTGGAAATCATACGCGGGATCGCCGGCCGCACGGCCTCGGAGAGAGGTTAGGAGAGGTTAGGTTATATTCGCTCAGAGTCTCGTTAACATTCGACGGGCCTGTCCCGGCGCGGCCTCGCTCTTCCAGAGGTGGGGCTCCCAAGCTCTTCGATCCTCGATTCTCCCTGAGAAGAAGATACTGAGATTATGTAGGTGGTCGTTGTTTCCTTGTAATCATATTATTTTTTTAGCTCTTTTTTTCTTTACCATGCGACTCGCTAGATTCGAGGTTACGTGATTGCTTTGCACGCGAAATTAATGGGGATTTAATATCTGGTGTTTTTGCATTTTTTTAGACTCGAAGAAAAAATATTTTTTAATCGTTTTCGGAATATTTTATAAATAAAATTCGAAATTCTCGGATGTTGGAAACTTTTGTAATTCTAATTTTATGACGTCAGATAGAAATAGTTTCGGTAAAAATTTTCCAACAAAAAATGTATACCCTATAGGTACGTAATATCCAAAAATAGCAGACAACCGAGCAAGACTTTAATTGCACCATTTATCCGTGCTTCACGCGACGTCGCTAATAATCGCGGTACGACGTTATCATAGAAATGGGATCTTGAAAATGCCCCAATTGCAGAAAGGCAATAATAACGCTTCCGTGTACTTTATGTTGCAGTTGGCGCATGCGCAGTAAAGAATAACAGTGGGACCTCGGAAGGAGCCTTGAACCAGTCGTAAAACCGCGACAAGGAGAAAGTATATACATGCATATATATCCGCAATCACACTGGTTTTTCCAAGAAGAAAGATAAGGAGCCAGCGACGTATGAATTATTGACCAGTAAATCGCGAGATCAACAACGCGGAAAGTTGGCTCGTTCCAGCCATTTTATTTCCCATTGGTTTATACGTACGATAAAAAGGACGAAAAGATGGCGACCGCCACGAGGAGAAATAAAATGCAACCGTGCACTTTAGCAATACGACTCGATGCATATAACTTGGCGAAAAGCATTTAAGCCATTTCAGGGCGTGAACGGGAAGTACTCTGTCTGTCATTGCAGTTGTCATTATCTTGTGCCAAATATGGTAATGGCGCGATCCCCTCGCGAAGAAGTTTATTGTCTGTCATATTATTATGCAATCTCGACCGTTTCAACGAGACCAATGTTACAACAGTAAAGGATCCTGGAAATTGTCGAGACGTCGTAACGATTGGCTGTATCTGTACGATAGAAGAAAGTAATAAAGACCGACCATATTGTATTTTTATTTTTTTTGCATTTTTTTTCCATAAAAGAGAACGCATCAGATTTTTTTTTATAGGCCCCTTTACTAGATACAGTAAAAGTGCATCGTTGCAATGCACGATTGAGCTTCGATATAGGGTTTATATGTACGTCGTAGATCTATGCATTTTAAATACAAAGACGTTAATGATAATTATATGATCCATAAATTCGCCATACGCAGAGACTGCTGGTATCATTCTGAATAGTTGGTAGGTATGGCATAAGGGTGGCATTACATACCTGTGGACGATCGTTGACTTGGCAGTGGTGCGAAAACCGCTAATCATTCTAATGGTAGCCATGGTATCTAATGACAGATTGGGTAATAAACGAGTACGGTTATTTATTTTGTGTCCATATTTTTCACTGGTACTTAGGATCGGATGTGTTCTGAATGGTCTTTTTGGATAGGTTATAATTTATATTGGGTTAAGTGATAAAAATGTGTAATTTATTTTGAATGCAGTTTAGTTTTATTTTTTGTACTAGATAATATTACGTATATAGGTACAGTTAATACGTGATTGGTCTTACTGATTGTTTTGGTGAGACAATCCGCACTCGTGTATAAACTTCGCGAACTCAACTAATTGAATCATTAAGACCAGGAAAGGACACGAGACTGTGACCGGTCGATAATTAATTAGCCGGGGAGAGAAATGGACGATAAGGGTTGCCAACAAAAAGGGGCTGTCAGTTTGCAATCGGCTGGGTGGAAGTGATTGGTTAAGAATTTCAGTTGGTTTTATCGTTGTCGAGTATCGTTGCAGGGTAAAAGTTCTAGAATGTATGATATATGTATATGTAACATAGAGAAAGACATGTAAAATATTATGAAATAAATAAAAATGTTAATAAGTAATATAAAAAGGAGTGATGCACGAGTGAATTATCAGATTCCATATAATCGACTGGTTCGATTAGCAAACTTAGAAAATGTTAGTTAGAAAATTTTGTCTGAAGGAATAAATTTTTTGTTTAAAAAAATCTATTGCAATCCCATCCATCATTTCACTTTTGATATTTCCCTATATTCCTGCATATTTTATACATAACAATTTCTCAACTGTTGTCTTCGAGGCGGATAATGGAGCAAAATTCAAGTATGGCTTCGCCCTTACCAGAATATCGCGTGTTGTTGAAATATTCCTGGAATATGCTAATTACCAGTTAGTTCCTCCTTGTGCCACTGCGCCCATTTCTACACCGCCGATGGCCTCTTTAGCATTTGCTTCTTTATCTACCGCTGGCTCTTTCCTCGTCGCTTCGATGTTCACTTTTCACTTAAAACGTTAAAACTTCACTCTGTCCACTGTCCTCGATATTTGTGAAGCACAATTCTCAATGCTGCGATCACATCTTTTTCATTTTCCAATAAACAAATTTATGTTCCACTGATACACTAGTATTACGAGATTATACGTTATTACGGCCATTGCGCTACGAATGTTGTGTATTACAGTCGAACGCGAAAATGCCAGCACTCTGTTTCCCTCAGTAACACATGGTGAGTTTTTCGTTCTTTTGAGGTTATCGTACGTTATGTGACAAGACTCCATAACTCACTCTGCTAGAAGCACTCGGCACCTTTCAGCTGTTTTTCCATAAGGGTAATATATTCATACTTATTAAGTGCATCGTAACTGCTCCGCTTTTGGTCTCGAAAATCAGCAGGCCCTACACTCGCGCCGCCTGACAACATCCGCCGTGAATTAATTGAATTCATTCGTTTACACGCAACTCTCCATGGCGCTGCAGTTCCCTCACGATACCGACCAGCATTTGTTATCTGAAGGTAAGTCCCTTAACCCGTGGTCTTTCAAGTCAGTCAAAGAAGAATAATGCATGAAATTAAAGTTATTACACAGAAGTAAATAATTCGCAGAACTTCCTACATTATTTACTTTCTGATTGAAAGTTTCTCGGATTTATACCAATTAGTATGGCGACCCGACTAAATTATCCAGTTCGGATAAAGACTTGACGAGTTCAAATAGTAAGTGATAAAAATAGAAATATCTAGAATCAGTGCTTAGTCATCTGCTTGAAGAGGTTAGGGAAAAATCGAACGAGTGTCATAATAAAGGAACCTGCTGGCAGCTATAGGTTATGTGACAGTGTGATATAACGACGTTAGTCATGCTAATGACGTTGACAGGTTAGTAGTAGTCTGACATGCAAAATACTGGCCTACCGGATAATTGAAATTGGCAGAGGTCAAGCAACTTCCATATATATTAGCATTTAATCCAGGGTCATTCATCTCTGTATAGTTCTGCAACAAAGTCGAAGCGACGCTGCACAGACGCGATTTGCATTCGCAATGCATTTTTCATCAAGAACTGTGATGACGGTCGAAAAATATATAACCGGAAATGATGTCTTATTATCATTATAACCAAGGGCTAGTTCATCTTATTGAAGTTTCATCTCTACGATTCCAAGTACAGCGGCAACGATTTATGGTGTGATCATTAGTGTTAGTATAATGATCATTAAATCCGTTAGGCAGAAAAGAGCTGCCTTATACTGGATCAAGTAACCCTTTGAACTCGTCATTATCTTCGAAGTCAGTCATCTGACTCGTGTCCATATAGTGGTAGTTGGATATATCATTTATCAAGAAGTTGATGATTTTGTAAGACGGTATCACAAAGGAAAAGTTTATGGGATTTATGGTCGAATCGAAAAACTACCCTGGTCTGAAAAAAAAGATAAGGAGGCCTCAATCCCCATTGACGGTCGAAAAACTTTGTTTCTTATACCATGGTGGTTAGTTAGGAGGTTATGGTGGTATAATTGCGGTTTATTGTCTCAATAAATATATACGCTATACTGTTGGACGGAGCAGTGGACCAGCCAGGTCTTCCTGGGATTCGAAATCAGCCCCTTGTTTATAGGAGTTTTATGGGTCTGCTTAATAAGGTTTATGGTATCTTATCTCAGGTTAGTTGCTGATCGCCACGGAACCGGAAGGTGGCTCTAACGATCTTGGGACTTGCGGTAGGATATTTTAGAATAAGACCAAATTTTGTCTTTTGACAAATACACAATAATGGCGTCTTTACGATGATTGAGAATTCAATCACAGCTGATCTAGTTTCTACAAATAACGTAATCGAAAGCCAACGTAACGCATTCGCGTAATCTTCTCATTTAAGGTTATATATGATTTTACACGTGGCTGCTTCATTGTAAGAGTCGCACGTGTAAATATGTAATCAAGATAGGACTGTAAGTGAAATAACGTTACGGAGAGTCATGTGGGAAATGACGTTTGTCACGCCATTATATAGCCACTTGTTATATGGATGATTGATCGATTTCGGAAAGGCTCGAAATTCGTGGAAACTGCCGAAATGTCAAATGAATTTCTGAGGGTTTATAAATATTGGATAAACAGAAAATAAATTAATCTTGAAAATAAGTAAAAATCAATATTCGTCGGCTAATTGTTTATAATCTAAAAGCCACTTGATACTTTATCTTTGCACCACTATAGACCTCATTATTGCGATCTACAAAAAGGACTAATTATACGTTTATCCTTATCTTAACGATGACATCGTTACTATTTTGTTGTAATATTACTTTGTCTTTCATAATGCCATTTTTATCAGTTGTCAAATGGAGGACTTTTAAACTTTTTCCGCATTGCATAAGCTGTTAACGATAATGCGTCAATTCGGTCTGATAACGATTTGTAAGCACTTGAAGTAATTGAAAGTAAGTAGATGGATCTTATTTTTCAAAATTACACATGGTCTAATACTGATGTATCATTGACAAACATAATTTTTATTGACAGGTATCGTCTCGGTTCTGGACTCTTTAATGATGCTTGATGGATCCACGAATCATTCGTCAAGGTACAAACACTCCAATGATCAGCGATCCGAATTGACAAGATTCACCTGCGTCCTGTTCCGTGTTTATTAAGGTGCATTCACACGGAGGGCCATCTGTCGAGATCCTAAAATCCGTATTGGTTGAATCGAATCCTAGAAACAGTTTCAAAATGACCAAAGGTAATGAGGGTCTAGCAAAATTGGCCGGAACGATCTTTTGAAAATGAGTCCAAGACGCAGAGCTACCAAAAATAAAAATTTCAATCTGACGGCGTTTCAAAAAAAAAAAAAAAAAAAAAAAAAAAAAAAAAAAAAAAAAAAAAAAAAAAAAAAAAAAAAAAAAAAAAAATAATAAATAAAATTCAAAAAGGTAATACAAAAACATACAAATTTCTAAAATCCAAGATGGATCCATATCGTCCACCACGGACCTCGTTACATCTGGTATTAATAACTTCCTTGAATTTCGTACTTGGCTGAACAAATGCTTCATGCCCGCTCCACAGGTTGAAGCAGAAGTTTTCTTTACCTTCTAAATCAGGAAGTAATTTACCACCGACGAAGGTTAATGGATGGACTCAGCTCGGACAGGTTGCGAAGTCATCGTTTCTAATCGGGATTTCACGCAGGGACAAAACTGTCTTGAAGACGCATCCAAAAAAAAAGAATGAAAAAAAAATCGCACAGGTAACCCAACCTTTCATTAAACAAGTTATAAGCTTATCCTGAAAGGGGTACCTATACGATAACGCGTTCGGGTGATCTAGAGAAACAATAAGGCAGGTTTCCATGAATGCAATCGAGCTCTCTTTCGCAGGCGGTGGCAGCGTCGGCATCGTTTGATGGTTTTTACTCGGCCGATGGGATACCAGAGGCCTCCAGTACGTGAGAGCCACGCCATTGGCTCTTTCCTCTGGTACCTACCCTCTCATTGAATATTTCTCCTGGTCCCAGAAGATACTACCACTCCAACCTCCTATTGCTGAAGTCCGGACACGACTTCGGGTCACTAGCTCGCCCGAGCACAATAGCAGCCAGAGAAACGTTACAAGGGAGTTGACATTCTGCGGGATACCACACGTCACTGCCAGGGCCCTCTTACACCAGTTCTTTCTCTTAGGTCGCGTTCACACGCCTCCCTCAAGACGATACTCCCTGCGTCCATGTCCTGACAGTGTAACCACGCCTTTCAAGCTCGTAAATTCTTCTCGTTGCGACGAGCAGCACGAGAATTCGCTCCTTAACTATCGCATCCGATTTTTTTGCAACTCCCCAAGATCCCCCACTCGCCATCCCTTTACCCCTAGGACCATTCGAAGATCATCCTCTGTTTCATCGGCAAAGAATCTTCGCGGATATTGCGAATTCCGTCAGAAACTTACCAGATAATAAAATTCCGTGAGATATGAAATTTTTATTAAATTTTTTTTTACCGCAATTTAATGCACAATACATTTTTTAATTTTATTATAATTTTTATTCCAGCCCTCGCCCATCTTCCATTTGGTTAATCTGGATATCCCGTACAGATGATTTCGTCCCAGGGCAGAATGGAAGGTCAGCAGCAATGACGGTATTCGCGAATCGCAAACCACCAAGCAAAACCTGGCATCGTATAAATCTGAAGGTAGAGATCCAGATTGTACGCTCAGCAATGCGATCCCGTCGGATCTTTACGAGGAATCGTATTTTCATTCGGGAATGGGATAATTCGCGCGAGTAACAGATAGAAATTACAAATGGCTGCCGGGAGTAGCGTTAAACGAGGAAAGTAAAAAATTGACGGGAGAGAATGAAAAAAAGAATAAGGATGAAAAAAGAAAAACAAAGATAAATTATACCACTCAGCGTAAAGATACGCAATTCCTCATAAAATTTACATAGACACGAAAGCACGTGCAACCAAACGCGAAGTTTACCTTAAAAGTATAAAATTACGAGTACAAGGAAAAGTGGATCGTTCCGCGTAATTTTATCGGAAAAACGTGGGCATTTTCGTTCCTAACGGCAAATGGCGTCGGGTACGCTTAACGACGCCTGATTTCACGTCACTTACGCAAGGCCCAATGGTGCACACTGTAACTAACTGTAAATGTGCCTCCGTCAAGTTGACGTAACGCGTAACTGATTGATAACGGTGCCAGCCTAGAATACACTGTACAGGTCTTTCCAAAGTAATAACATTTTGATAAATGGGTACAGGTGTGACGCGCTAACCAAAATGACTGACGATTTCTCCACGTCGTTGTCGCCTGCTTTCCCAGGACCTCAGACGCTTGTAAATATATATAAATATATTTACATGTATAACCACTAATGCCATTGCTTCTCGTTTCAGGTTCTCCACCTGGATAGGACTGAAGAAATTGTTGGCTGCTTACATAGGAATTTACACGGCTTGGATTATATTTTGTTAGCCTCGGTTATAACGTATCTTTATATAAGTATGATAATAGAGGTTATCAGTGGAGGGGTGGGTAGAGGGTTAGTCCTAGCAATTCTAAATAATTGATTACGTATTACAAAGTGTCCCGAGCACAATGCGTCATTGAAATATACGATAAACGGAAATGATTGTAATAATTGAGCAAAGCTATTCCAACTGTCGAGTCAAGTAGATATATGTGAATAATGCGAAAGTGGCGCCACGGATAGAATTTTTCGAAGTTAATTATATCATTGTAGCTTGTGTATCTAGAAATTGGGTATACGGGAGACCCGTGTATTCTCCATGGGACACCGTGTACGGTTGCGTGCTAATGTGGCCCATAAAGCATAAGTATGGTTCGGTGTTTTCTTGAGAGATGGCGCCACCAGGCAATGCTTCACATACTCGCAGAAGGCCACTTCAACGAAATTTATAACACAACTTGGCTCTGGCTCGATTAAATATTTATTTTTATTCTTTTTTTTCTCTCGTTGGCACACCTTCAATTGCTTAACTGTTCGCCCGATTCTTTTTTTATTCGTCAAGCCTGTATCTTTAAATTACGTGGTTTCAAGTAATACTGTATCACTATTTCTGTTATGGCTAACGCGTTGCGCGTATACCATACACTCGCAAGTACCAAACGTATACGTGAAAACGAAACATACGATGTAATAAAACGTAATGAAACCATAATCGCGCGATCGCTTAACATATATTAGCTACATGCTATCTCCATTTGTATCTTGTCTTCCTGAACGTCCGATGCGACGATATAAATTATACGAGCTACCGGTACGATTATCGGTCTAATGAAGATGCTAGAAAAATGAAAAAAAAAAAATCAAATTAGGCTCGATTAAAAATCACAGTGATCGATCGAGCGACGAGTAAAATGATTTAAATAATTTTTTCAATTCGTCCACCGTCTTCGAGATCCTCACCAAGGAAGAATCTCGTACCTAGACGACATCGACGAGGTCGCACAAACGTCACTCGGAGAAGTGAGGTCCCCTCGTTGTTCCTTCAATTCAATTGAATTCTATTCCAGCGTGCAGTTGATATCATTGAGGTCGCCACTTAAATACTCATTGTCGTTCGTCACTTATTGTTTCACCCTTCGAGCCGGTACCAGCGACCATTCTGTTTCGTTTTGGTAACCCACGTGGAGAAAGGTTAAAAAAAATTATAGCATAATAGTAAAATAAAGGAATTATCAAAATTCATTAATTTCTGCATTACCTACGCAGCAGAGAAAAAACAATCCGACGGCAGCGCAAGGAGACACAATGACGTCACAAACAACAGGGCGAATATTCATTCGGCAGAAGTTGAGAATCCTGACGCAGGTACCGTCAGAGTTCTCTTCTCCAGTTACCGCTGAGCGAATTTCGCCAAGAGCACTCGAGGGGTTTTATACAGTGGCCAGCCTGGAGAACCACTCGGTGTATATGGAGGAGCCATGTTGTTGGGTTGTTGGCGTCGCTCTAGACCTGGGGGATACGTGTAGCGGGTGAACGAGCCACATTTACATGTGGCCGTAATAATGGACAAAGTTTCAAGTGCGTCGCGGTTGCTGCCGAAGTGGGCATTGTTGGCCCACATGGTAGTTCCGAACAAACGGGGCCCGATCGACTCTGCATAAGGAACACACGGTTTAAGTTTTTCGTGCGCCAAATGATATTGTCCAGAAGAATTCTTTTGGGGTACGTTAAAGGGGTAACCGGAAGAAAAGTGAGTACGAATTAAATCCCGCGAGTGTCTGCGCGTGATTTTATTTTTGGGTCCGCCTTTACTCGTGGCGGCGGGAAAATTTGAATTTTCATTTCTATACCCAATCTTCTTATTTGTCTCGTATAACCTAACCATGCTAACTATGTTTTAGGTATCAAACGCAGGATCATACTAGATACGTATCGTCATTATGTTATTGTTCTCATTAGGGATGTCTACCTATGGACCACGGTTAACAATCCCACTTGATTCCGTCATTGGCGACGGAGTTCCTGAATGAGTTCGTAACGAGATGCACAGCCAGAGGGCTGGCCCACGCCTGTCAGGGGTTGCCTGCACGTGTCCTCAATGGACCAATCAAAGCTCACCCTCTTCTAGCCCACTGGCTTACGTATATTAGGCTAATGTTACGTCCTACTCGTTCGTCGACGTTTATCAGTGAGGATCCTTTCTGAAGTGATGGACCACACTTGGCTTCAGAAAATAAGGGATGAAATTTACTTATACGGTGGGTGTGTATATACCATATATATGGTATATGGTTATGCAACGTTTTAGTACTTACAAGGCAGTGCCAAAGTCACTTGCTCCAATTTGATTATCATTGTTCCTCTTCATAGGTGCAAGATCATGGTACGCGTGGCTGATCAAACCTTTGAAAGGATCACGAAGGCGTACAATTGTAAATCCGCTAAAGGGGGTTGTTCGCTACCCCGTAAACATAAGGGTGATTTAATTCGGCCTGTTGAGCTTTGAAGATCCAAAAATCCATAATGCCCAATGGGTCTGTTGTGGCACCCTGGAGAACTTCGGTGGTAAGTCGTACGACTAGCTGAAGTGGGAACTGTAGAACTTCGCACGTTACCCAACGAGCGTTTAATCGTCGTTTTGTTCGACGAATAAAAGAGCCAGATTACGATACAGTCTGCGCGTAATCAATGGGAACGAGCATATTAGGTCGTCCCATAAATTATTTCTTCACCCCATAGATACGCCTGACGTTCACCCTCGTTGGATGATACAAAGTACGTAAAAAGTCTTACTGGAAACTATAAAACGTCTAGATGGGAATATTAATGGAAAAAAAGAAACCATAACAAAAATATGCAAGCACCACGTTCCAGCCGTAAACTCGTAATTTAATTGTACAACACGTTCAGACACCAGTATTTAATATTGCAGAAAGACATAAAGTTGCGCTAGCCGTGGCCGAGCATGGAAACCAACAGAACCAACCGCCATCGTTACAACACTCAACAACGTCTCTGGACTTACCAGCAGGTCTTGTAACATCACAAACCCCCGGAGGACTACGTACCAGCCGAGGAAGATCCAGTTGGGGGAACCGAAAGGAAGTTGAAGAAAAAAGTCCCCAAACAAAACAAAACCCAATTCTTAACGAGCGTCCCAGCGGTGGAAAAAGATTCCAAAAAATAATACTGAAACAGTACTCGAACCGATAGTAAAGTACCATAAAGAATTCTGCATACAAGTACCAGTGGTACCAGAACCACCCCATAAGAAATACTACTAGTATCAAAGCCGATGTTGTTATACAATAGTATCCAATACCAGTGCCAAGTGCTGTAGTATTTGCTATAGTAGAAAGGAGAGTTACTGTACCGTTATACACGGGGACACGTTACATGCAGCACTCATAGAAATAGGGTAGGGTATAAAAAAAGAAAGGAAGGGGTGGAAATATCTCCACCCCTCTCTTCCTTGTCAAAGAATAAAATTCTCTTTCTCTTATACCAGACGATAGCATTAGGGGGCATTACGTTTAAATACACTTAGGATCAATGACTATGGCTTGACGCAAGGCAAAAGCGGCCTCTCGTTTGTTGACTGCGGAATAGCATTAGCAATAGCCCAATTGACTGCATCTGTTGACTAACTGACTTGACTGACTGACTGACTGGACCGGTCACCGGGTGACCTCGCTCTTATCAAATGCGTTGATGCAATAAATGTCGAGAGGTTGATTTGTTATGTATTTACGTAGTTACATGCGAGAGGGTGGTGCGCTGTGCGGCAAAGAACTTGTTAGGAGTACTTTTATATTTTATTATTGCATACGTAGTATACGCACTTGTTGCGTAATACGTGGTTATGGGTTTTGAGGGGGCGCGGGGTGGTAATTCGTTTCAAGGAAACGACAGTGGCAGTTGGGTGGATGGCGGCGAGGAGTTGGGTGGGTGGGAAATGGTTGATTTGATGGAAAAACTATTGAATTTCTCGGGAAACAGGTTGGTCGGAACGTTTTTTAATGGCCGCTACGTGAGGCTGTGGGTTTGTTTGATTTTAATTTGATCCTTAAGGACGGTTCGTTGGATCGTGACACTTAATTATCCGATTCATTAATTGCCTTGATCATTATCATTTGAAGGGGATGAAAAACGGGGCTGATATCCATGGACACTTTTGTTTTATTGGTCTTTTTTTTTTCGTGGGGAATATGTTGGCAGTTCTGTTTCTAGATGTTTAAGCGTATTTGTATTTATGTATAGTGTGTATGTATATCTATAGTGCTGTGGGCAGTCTTTCATTTGTACGTTACGACCGAACTCCTACTGATAGTAATTAGCTTTCATTATCGTAAATATGAAAGTGTACCGGGCGGCCATAATGAACTTGTGATATATTTATAAGGGTTCGTGTACCCAAAGTCAAGCAAATTAGGCATCCCGACGTCCCTGTACAAATTGTAGGCTCGATACGTGTGAGCTGTCATTATTATGTGACAATTGCCCTCCTGATCAGTTTTATCGTTAATGTTCATCAAACTACTTCATCCGTTTTATTCGGCCTCCATTCTATGGGTTATGAATGGTTCGCATGTTCTTTTTCTATGTGATCCTACTACGGTCACGTAATGCACTCTTTTACCTTGTGGTCTGACATGATTTTCTTATCAGTATTTATATAGATATATATATATATATATATATATGATTAAATATAAGCATTAGAAGAATATTTTAAAAGTAATGAGAATAATTTTTCCACGTACACGTTAAAACGTTTGATTTCTTTTTTTTTTTACATTTTTTTTGGTAACTTTCTTGAAAGTTTTTCCAAATTTTTTTTTCAAGTGTATGTGAAATGTATGTCTTACGTAGTTTTTTCTTCTTGGATATTTAGTATCTAATTTCTATGATATGTATAGATATATATTATACTGTATGCGCATATAGACAGACGTATGTGTCGCGGGGTTAATTGAATCAAGCAGCACGCAACCAGCTCTGTATACACAGTCGGGTCAGCGGAGGTCAAATCGGTAATAGGCTGACCCTTAATTCACCATGTGGTCTCCTCCGAACGCCGATACATCGTTGTTCATGGACATGCGACCTTAGTGACCTATGGCCTTGAACCATAGGATCCCGCCAAGAAGATGACCCGAGAGTCCATTTGGAGTTGTCTAAGGAAAAGTATCTAAATAGTATAGTCTAAAATTGAGTAAAAAAAAGAGTGGTCAAAAAATCAAGTCTTTTCAAAAGCAAAGTTCTCGTATTCAAAATACTCAAATAATACATTTTCATTAATCCGCAAGGTAGATTACCAAGATAATAATTATTTCCCGTTGAGCATATAGACAGAACTCATCCATCATTCGTTGCGCACCAGACCAGATCCAACTTCAGTACTGCGATCTGCCTTCTTGGGGCCTTACTATGGGTCCAAAGGCCCATTCATCCGCGTTCGTTCCACGCGTCCGCCTTCCTCGACCATTCCGGCATCGTTTCACAGGCATTATTTTTAACCACTACCTTCGGCAACGTTAAGTACCACGTACTAACCACGCCATTAGAATATTCGCAATGCGCGACATTCGTTCTCCACCTAACGATAGGCTATCTTTAGGCAAATAAACGGCAAAGTAATTCGTTCGTTGCGATTTTTATGTGAAACGTGGATAAAGAAAGTGGCGCGATTTCAGGACAAGTTCTCGCCGCCATTGCCACTGCGGCAGATAAGGTCAGTAAGAAGAAAACAAGAAGTTGAGATTTTGCTTGCGGAAGATCGAGAAGCGTTATAAGGGAGACACGATGGTGATGGGTAAGCAGGTAAGATGGGTTAGTCGAGGTATAGTAAAGAGGAGCAAGAAAGAGGGGAATATAATGAAGAAAGACAGAAGCTTAACCCGCGGAATTTTCTCCGCGTCACGTTTCGTTGTTTCTTGACAGAGACAAGTGTGACCAATAATTCTTGATTAGAAAGCCGCTCGCTTCATCGGATGCGAAGGCGTTCGCTTTGGTGGCGAGGGGAACGTGGAGCGTTCTGAGGTCGAGAGAAGAGCAAGGAGTCGGTAAGGAAGATAAGGATGGATGTATAGATGGGATAAAGAGTAAGGAAAGAGGGATCCATCTGGTTCCTCCTCCGGACTCGGAGCACTCAGACCACTCGGAGCGAAGATCCATCAATCACGGATGTCCCGCACCTCGAGTGCTGCCGGTAGCAAGAACTTACAGAACTTCGTCGCTTCGCGGCGTCACAGAGGCAGTTCTGATCCCTTTCCGTGCACGGCTTCGGCCACCACCTTTAAACCGTCTCACTCGAAGTTTTTTGTATTTCTTTATATTTTCTGGTTTCCATGCCATTTCTACCAGGTCCGAAGGAGCATGCAAAAAATTGTTATAATTCAGTGGGTTCGATAGAAACGACGAAAAAAGGGATATATGGACTTGGAGGCTAGGTCACGTCGATTTGTCACCTCGAAAGTTTGAATGTGGATAAAAAATTTTTGAAAAGGAGCAGCCCCGATTTTTTTATGTTTTTCGAATATTTCGATGTGAATGTTTCTCGCCTGTGAGTTTAGACTCTTGGTATTTTTTCTGCCGGGAGAGAGATCAAGAAGACGGTGGAAGGTGGATGACGACTGGCGACTCTCTTGGAGGCGAGATTGTGTGTTAATGTATGGCTGGCATTCGGACGACAACCGTGACAAATTGCTTTATTAGGTTGGCAGCCCGGGAGCCTTTCCACTCGTAGCTCGCACCTCGGGGCCGCCACTCATCGTGATTGTACGCTCTATTCTTCTCTTCTGTTTGAGCCTGTTCCTCTTCTTCTTTCTTTGCTTGCTTTCTTTTCTTCTCCCATATGCGCTTCCACCAATGCAGCAACAGACCATACACAATCCTGTTGATCCTGAATGGACTATACAAATTCTATTAGAGGGTGCAGACACTAACTTTTTTATCTCGAGATTTCGAAGTGGTTGAACAACCCTTAAAAAAAATACCCCAATCCATTATTCCCATTTTTTTATATTATACACCTTGTACAACCAATTTTCGCAACGATCCAGTAACGATCACCACAGTCAATTGTCACGCTCGTCACTAACCCGAAGATCGATGACACTATAAATCCGTCATGGCTACCAAACAAAAAACCACAAAAGAACCTCACAAAAATCTTCATCCATAACTGTTCCCTTGTCCTTCTCAAAAAATTTCATTATAAAATTATCACAAGAAAATTACTTTGTTCCAGCTTCAGAATCAGCTCAGCCCCATTCAATACTTCTCTGCAGCCGTACCTACATATACAGAAATCCAGTACCCGTAAACAGCAGGTACCCATTCCGGTGCTCTGATCTATTTAAGAAAAAATGACTCAAGGATTATTAATGCTTCTCGACTGTTAATAATGGATCAGTGGCTTATTCATAAGAAACATAACCTACACAATATATATACACAACGAACAAGAGAGGATCCACTATATGATGCTGAGAACCAAGTAGAAACAAGGTACTACCTACCTATGAGATGAAAGTTAGGTAGGCAAGTCGATGCGACGGGACCCTGTAGAATCGAGAATGCAGGTCCAGCTGTGAACACGTTATAAGAATCTTTTTTGCAGGGTACAATGTCCTGGCGACTCCCGGATGCAGGATCATTAGGCCTCCGCGTGTTTCTTGCTCGTGGACACACGAATAATACACGCCGAGGATCGCCCTGCCCTCAAGGTTATTAACTTCCTTCGAGGATAATTACCACCGTTCCTTAAACCGAGTCAACTGCCTAATGATCTATCGCCACCTCGGCCACCTCGAGCATCTACTTCGTATACTATAGTCCTATATATTATAATATATAGAACATACCTAACCTGGACAGCCCACCAGATTATCCGGACCAGGGTCCTCTACAGGGAACGCTCAAGGAATTGACGTACGATTTGTTTAAAGATCATTATGCCCATACAGCATCTTCCAAACAGCCTTTAGGGTCGTTTGGGAACTTTGACTCCATCAGGAAGATAGGTACCTCTGATCTCTTCCTGTTTTATTTATTTTTTATCTAACGTTGGTTCTTGTTACAGGATCCACATTTTGCAATTAGATTGTATTGTTGATTACGGAACGTCGATGCCCTTTGATTGGCCACCTCGAGCATCTACTTCGTATACTATAGTCCTATATATTATAATATATAGAACATACCTAACCTGGACAGCCCACCAGATTATCCGGACCAGGGTCCTCTACAGGGAACGCTCAAGGAATTGACGTACGATTTGTTTAAAGATCATTATGCCCATACAGCATCTTCCAAACAGCCTTTAGGGTCGTTTGGGAACTTTGACTCCATCAGGAAGATAGGTACCGCTGATCTCTTCCTGTTTTATTTATTTTTTATCTAACATTGGTCCTTGTTACAGGATTCACATTTTCCAATTGGTTTGCATTTTTTTTGTTGATTACGGAACGTCGATGCCCTTTGATTGGCCACCTCGAGCATCTACTTCGTATACTATAGTCCTATATATTATAATATATAGAACATACCTAACCTGGACAGCCCACCAGATTATCCGGACCAGGGTCCTCTACAGGGAACGCTCAAGGAATTGACGTACGATTTGTTTAAAGATCATTATGCCCATACAGCATCTTCCAAACAGCCTTTAGGGTCGTTTGGGAACTTTGACTCCATCAGGAAGATAGGTACCGCTGATCTCTTCCTGTTTTATTTATTTTTTATCTAACATTGGTCCTTGTTACAGGATTCACATTTTCCAATTGGTTTGCATTTTTTTTGTTGATTACGGAACGTCGATGCCCTTTGATTGGCCACCTCGAGCATCTACTTCGTATACTATAGTCCTATATATTATAATATATAGAACATACCTAACCTGGACAGCCCACCAGATTATCCGGACCAGGGTCCTCTACAGGGAACGCTCAAGGAATTGACGTACGATTTGTTTAAAGATCATTATGCCCATACAGCATCTTCCAAACAGCCTTTAGGGTCGTTTGGGAACTTTGACTCCATCAGGAAGATAGGTACCGCTGATCTCTTCCTGTTTTATTTATTTTTTATCTAACATTGGTCCTTGTTACAGGATTCACATTTTCCAATTGGTTTGCATTTTTTTTGTTGATTACGGAACGTCGATGCCCTTTGAGATGACGAAGGTCCAGATTGAAGCATGGGAACTACTCTGGATTCCATCTCCATCCTCACGTCATACGTCGCACTCGTCAATGAATAGATAACGAAGGAGAATGAGCTAGTTGAAGCGGTTTGATACATCGGCGACATCGCCGCAACATTCATCTGCATAATTCATTCTTATCAGTACGATTCCTGTCAGGGATCCTCAACCGGAGTTTGAGAGTGGAAGGTTGTATTTTTTTGAGAAAAATTCTCTATTGGTTTTATTTCAACAGTTCATTGCTTCTGTTTTGAGGTTAGGATTTTAAGGTTGGTCGGGTTAGGTTTTTTGGGAATTAAAGGTTCATTTTATCAGACGAATTTTTCGGGAATTTCTTATTGTCAAGGCACTGATCTTATTTTGTGCGCGGTTCATAGGTCGCTCGGATCGCGTCGTCGCGTTTTCCACGACGGTAGCGTCACAACGGCGGGGATACGCACTACTGTGTGGAGGGACGCCCACTGTATTTACCCGCTCTGAATTCCACAGTCACTCGCCCCCTCGCGAATTGTTGCGTAGTACAAACCCAAACTCTTAACTCTTAAGCTCGCATGACTCGCCGAGACGCTAGCTACAAGGTGTTCAAATAGTTTTGAATCGATACTATTCAGCGAGCAATCAATAATAAATTAATGAAATTCAACTCTGTATAAAAAGCTACATACCAGTACCGTGTTAATAAATTTAGGATTAAATATATTTTTTTTTCGAGGCATAAAAAAAATCATTTTCCAAAAACGACACAAATTTTCATAAATAGTTCATCAGCTCTAATTATAATTTTATTAATTTTATTTTCGGCTCCATTTTCAATGCCAAGATTAATTTCTATAATTTATCAGACACTCGCATTAAACTCGACTCTCGTTCAGCCTACATTGGGTCAACTTAAACTGAGGTCAGAAAGGAGCAAGATACTTTAGAGACACCCCGTACCTATACAGATGTTTAAGAGCTAAGCAACTACTCAGAGTGAGTGAGTTGATGCGAGCCGCGTATCACGAGAAGGAAGTTCAATTTAACCCAATAAAGGACAATCAGAGACCGACGGCGACCAGAGACGAGTGCTCCTCTGCTCGCTAAACGGATCATCCAGATCAGACTTCTCTTTCAGGACTTTTCATTCCAGAAAGAGAAAGAAATGGTCAAGCACTACGTAAGGTCAGTTCCGAAGAGTTGTCATCCGGTTCGTCAGTTGGTACCAGGTTCCCGGTACCCAGCATCTTTACAAGATCCTATATTTTTTTTCAGCTACGACAAAGGGATACGTGCAAACTTTGATCATCTCCCGAAGACAACGTCCAGGTTCTGTATTCCCACGTGGGAAAGGATCCCACGGACGTATGGAAAAAAAAAAACAGGGATCCATGACACTCTTGTACGGTAGTCAACTGGCGGCACGTCAACCAGGTATTCAAGCACAGAGGATGAAGCACCTAAGCACGACCCAATCTCGAGAGTCCTCAGCATCCTCTTCATGTCTAATCCCAAAAGAGAATCTCTCACGAGCTCTTTATACGCTTTACACTCTGCGTTGCTCACTTCAGGTATTCTACAGGCTTGTTCAAAAACTTCACTGGAGCTCCTTCTGATGTTGCTCGTTGGTCTTACGGAGTGTCCTGCGAAAATGGAAATGGCCAATTTTCAGTTGCTACACCAGGCAGCATCCCTTTTATCTACTTTACTCAATGGACCGTGCAAATCTGTCGTATGGACCAAGTGGATCTCTCCTCCACTTTCCCACAATATGGGCAACCGGTTTATAAATTGTAGATGGCGGTGCGTTCTCTTCATTGAAAACGGGTGAAACGTGCATCCATGGACACTGTACTGGAATAAGTAGTCGTTATTTTGGTTAAGGTTGAGGTTAGGTTCATCTTGGGCAGCAGCAACCTCATAGGCATTCGTCAGGCAAATCGTTCCCTTTGATTTGTCAATGTGAAGACGTAGCTGGGACACTGAGAAGAATGAGGTTGCTCAGCTACCATTTTTTGGTCAGATAGATGTCTCTAGTGATCGCTTAAGGGTGAGTTAGGGTGGAACGCAGAGGGCGATAGGGCCTGGAAGAGGAGGGGTTGATGGTTCATTCATGGTGTCGGTGGAAAAAGGGAAAAATACGAGATTAGCTCTGGGGCCTTCTAGTTCACCTTCGTGAAAGAGGGTGCAAGTGGGGTGGGTTTCGACATTAGCGATTACACGCCCCGGGGCTTCCATACATCGGGTGTCTCCGCGTGGAACTAAGCAGACAAAATGGCCATGCTCCAGCTCACTCCAGATTCCGTTTCTCTTCCTGGCCCTCTCGGCTCAGAACGCTCAAGAGGAGGGATTCAGAGCCGAACCCCTTGTCAGAATTACGTTGGGGGTGAAAATCCACAGCTACGTATATAAAGTATCGAGATTCCTCTTCTGACGATCGAATTAAAAAAAAAAAAGAAAAAAAAATGTTTTTCAAAAATTAAAAAATTTTTTTTATCCGCATTTTACACAATTTTTCAATTCCATTAGCGTCCTACGGTATACATTACTAAGTAGCTTAGCGAAGAGAGCAAGTCCCCGTTTGAAAAAAGTGTCATCCCTGCGTGGACAATGGGGGGTAAATCCGATTTTCAAAAATGATCGCGTTAAACGTACCCCAGGATTTCTAAAGCTGGTTTCTCAATGGGTGTTTACGGTTTTCATGAAAAGGATTATTCCATGCATACGTGCACGCCGGCTACCAGGAGAAAGACCGTCCAGAAGCCTCCCGCAGTGACAGGGGTTGTCTGCTCTTCAGGGTGCGTGCGGGAGCGACGGTGACAAAGAGAAGCGGATAATAAAAAGAGAAAGAAAGGGCGTGATTTCGGATAGTCCCAACAATGAGAAGACAGTAAGAACCATGGTTGACAGCTGTTTCCAAAATACCGCAACACTGGACATCTTTTTCGAAAAAAAAAAAAAAAAAAAAA